GATGGAATGTCTAGCGAGGAAAGCGATGGAGAGGTTGGTCGAATGGATCGTCAATATCGGATTAAAACGCTACCATGGCGTGCTCGTACCCTTACGGACTGGTTGCACTCTCTTGACCAGCTGCCTCCAGAAACGGCACAGAAGCCGAATTCAAGGGCTGCTCGGCATCGCCTTCCAAGCAGGATCCAGTCAGAGAATCACACACCCCCACATCACCTGCCAACATCATTTTACGATAGGGAATGGCTCGAGTCACAATCGAATTCGTCTCGCGCCGCTCTAAAGATCACAAACGATAAACTCGAGCTTCCTGATCTTGCGCCTTTAATTCTCGTTCTACACCGTAATATCTCAATCGATGAATCCGCTATCTCAAACAACAAGCCAAAGTGTTCCCTGAACTCAAAGAATACGATGTGGAGCCAGACGATATCTTGAAATTCGCTGCTACATATCTTACCGGACTGAAACGGAAGTATAACAAGGCGATAGAAGAGACATCGTTGGTTGTGACCTCGTGAACGATTTACGGCAACCATCGACTCGGATCGACCAGTGCAGGTCTCAATCAATACTTCAAACCTTTGAAAATGCGCAGGATGACCGCATTACTTGGTGGTCTCATCATTTAGCATCCCGGGAACTGCAATCGTCTCTTGAAATCCATAAATAGTGTTATTATGATGCCTGATAGTTTCAATATATGACGTTCCTATTTTATTTATGAATAGGTATCGCAAGCTGAAGTTGGCCACTGAACATGGAGGGGGCATGTTGCCACTATACATTGCCGACGCATACTGCCCGGCGATCAGCAGATCTGTGAACAACTCAAGCAAACCCATTAAAAAGTGCTATGAAAGGTGATAAAAGCAAGATTGGATTTAGTGGATACTTTAAAACACGAATTACCGACAAGTCCTATGGTGGCTGACAAGTCAGACACGCGCAATCCTAATGAGAGTCATTCTTATCCTCTTCTGCGAGCATGATGATGGCTGACCGATGACATTTATATCGCAGATATCCAGGCGAACATCCCTATCGAACGATACGCAACTTCATACCAGGAATGGCTATTCTGATTCGCATACCGACATGTTCGCTATGCGAGTGATGGATGGAGTATGTGCATATTTGCCAGAGGACCTCTATTGCATCAGCTCCGGTGGCCGGTGAACGTTACTTGTTGGTTGCGTTCACTCGACGGTGCTGCCATAAGCGGCATCCGTTCTGGTATCGACTATGATAGATAATATTGTGTCTAGTGCTGAAATCAACTACTTTCAATCACACATCAACCGTTCTTTGGTGAGAAATGACGCATGCAGTGGACGGAGCCTGTTTCAGCTGATGTCCGGCGTTGACCTCTATTAGACACGCCAGGTGATGGACGACGGATATATCCCAGTCAGTGGACGGAGCCTGTTTCAGCTGATATCCGGCGTTGACCTCTGAGATTACTCTGTATACTACAAGATGGCGTGGCTCCCTGAGCGTGTTTCAACTGCTATCCGACTCCTCGTCTCTGTAAAGTGGTTCGACTTGACTGAGCGACATCTATCCAACGGCAATAGGTAGTCAAGAGGCATATACGAAGCCCCATGTACTATATAATCGACGGTTTGTCCGCAAGGATTCCCCCCCCCCCCATTCTCATTTCTTCTCCTCGAGTCTATGGATACTTCATCTTACGAGCTAAAGCATTGCGAAGGTTGCGGCAGGAAATTCAGGATTCCACCAGGTGCATCTCTTGCAATCTGCAAGCGTAATACCGGGCATGAGCAGGAGCAGAGATCGGCATCGCCAGCACAAGGTATGTGTTCCTTTCGTATCTCTAACGTGGACTTATTTCACTCCCATCGAAATGTGAAGAAGACGCGACGCATTATCTATTTGTGGTGGAGACTAGTCCACAATCCGAATCTCGTGAACCACCAAGACCCGCGATAAAAAAATTCAAAATTAGACGTGTGGAGCCATCTTCTTCTCCCCTTATCACGAGTTCCCTCCATCATTCCCCGAATATGCATGAGAATCCAGTAGACCTGTCGACTTCTGATATCGCCTCACCTAATGGGGACACCGGTCAGATGGATCGTCCTCAACGAGTTGAACAAAGCTTCCATTGTGTGGTCGACGGAACACCTCTCTATGTGAGTCCTTTATCTCGGTTTGAAAGAAATCTAAAACCACCTCTTCAGAGATTCGCCGAGGGGCATGCTCACCATCTACTCGGCATCAAACAAAGCGGCCGACCAGACCTTTGGCCATCTATAGACTCGGCAACGTATGGGGATGTGGGAACAACTTCGCGCGAATCTATTACAGTATCCGGGCCACTGAGAGTCGACTGGGCACAACCGTCGTTGACCGATTGGACGAAACGTCTTGCCTCCTTGCTTGTGTCATCCTTTCTCTCGGATTACCACGATGGGTGTTTTCCTCTTAAAGCAAAGCCCAAGGATCACGATCTATTCTGGTGCTTTGTGCTCATCATCATTCGCCTTAAAACCGTCCGTTATGATTATTGTAATCGATCGCCTATTTCCCAGCCGATCAATGGTCATACGCCTCGAGCCACGGCTAAAGAAAAGAAGAAACGTCAAGATAGGGTCCGTAATCGACGTATACAGGTATTGGGTTTCCATAGCGGCTGACACCATTACTGACCCATCGATATCTAGCTTTGGAAGGCCCGCCTGAGGACCGTGTCTGAATACAGAGTTCCAGAAGATGCATCCAAAGCGTTGAATATCCTTGGTCCCAAGGGGATGTCCAGTGATGAAAGCGAAGGAGAGCCTGGTACAAGGGATCGTCAGTATTGGACCAAAACACCAGAATGGCGTTCTCCTGAGCTTACTAGCTGGCTGCGTTCACTTGATGCTCTCCCCTCCTCCATATTCCAAGTCCAAACATTGAATCTTCCGCGAACCCGTCTCCCAACCGAGTCTCAGTCAACTCGCCGACCGCCACCCAATCTGCCCGAGTCTTTTTTCCGCCGAGAATGGCTCGAATCACAATCTTCCTCCTCTCGAAGTACTCTCAGGACGACCAAAGGTAGCATTGATCTTCCAAATCTTTCCCCTGGTATCCTTGTCAGAGCCACTGACTCCTCTAGCTCGCCATCATCCACCACTCCCGAGCTTTGATCATTCATGCTCAGATTTGAACGCCAAACTCCTTAATATGATAATCGCTGTCGGCTCCTTGCCAATGGCATACCCTATGCATCTCTTATCCATTTGAATAACATGTTGACTTTCGACCAAATTTTGTAGCTGAAGTGTGCGCAAGCGCGTGCTATTAAGTGAAGCTTTCTTGACGTAAGCCTACTAGAATCCAGGGGGGTTTATCTGCTATGTCGAGCAGATCTTAAATACTAGTCGCATGGAACTACTATTGGTATTGTGTCGTTATGAAGAAGTCTTGATAACTGGCGGGAAATACTGCCGCTGAGTCTTAAGCTCAAAAGTACCGAAAATGAAGAATTGATAGTACCACTATCTTAAAGTTCATAGTTCTAGTTATCGGATGGTAGCCATCCCGATATAGTAGTGCTAATTTGCTTGGTTACCACTTCAGCGAAGCGAGCAGAAATCGACTGTCTATATTCATAAATGATGTCACTTGGACTCTGGCTTTGGGTCTGATAATAGACGGACAGGCCTTATATCCGGCTTACATAACTGGCGGTAACTGGCGAAATAAAGCGGCCGTGCCGAGGTACTATTTTGCTGGTATTTGGGGCGCAGAACTGCCCAATGCCCGCAGTGAGTGAAAGAAGCCGCAAACTCCGCCCTCGCCCCGGCCTACAATTCACTCCCTTCGACACCAGGCGACCCCTTACTCGGTTTATCTCTACATAACGGAAACGTCGCGTTAAAATTTAGGAAAATAGA